TGAGTTCTTTGTGTATTTTGCAGCTCAAACCCTTGTCCAAGGTATCATTAGCAAATATATTTTCCCATAGGATTGGTTCCCTTTTCATTTTGCTGATGTTTACTTTAGCTGTACAGAAGCTCATTTTGATGACATCTCATTTGTTTGTTCTTTCCTTTATGTCCCTTGCTCCAGGGGACATATTGGTGAAAATATTGCTGCGTGGATATCTGAGAGTTTCCTGTCTATGTTCTCCTCTTGGACTTTTATGGTGCCACAAATTATGTTTAAATCTTTTATCCATCTTGAATCTATTTTTGTGTATGGTGTAAGTTGGTGGTCAAATTTCATTTTTTTGCATGTAGCTGTCCAGATCTCCCAACATCACTGATTAAAGAGACTAATTTTACTCCATTGTATGGTCATGCGCCTTTTGTCAAATATTGATTGACCATAGACACATGGGTTTATTTGTGGGCTCTCTATTCTGTTCCATTGATCTATGTGTCTGCTCTTATGCCGGTACCAGACTGTTTTGGTTACAGTGGCCTTATAGTATAGTTTTATATAGGACATTGTGATCCCTGCAACTTTATTCTTCTTTCTCAAGATTGCTGAGGCTCTTCATGGTCTTTTTTGGTTCCATACAAATTTTTGGAATATTTGTTCTAGATCAGTGAAATATGCCTTTGGTATTTTAATGGGATTGTGTTGAATCTATAGATTGTTTTTGGGAGTATAGACATTTTAATGATGTTATTTCTTCCAATCCATGAACATGGTATATGAGTCCACTTATTTGTGTCTTCCTCAATTTCTTTTTTATATAGCTTTCCATAGACAAGTCTTTAACCTCTTTGGTTAAGTTTACCTAGGTACTTTATTTTTCTTGTTGCTATAGTAAATGATATTTTTCCTAGATTCTTTTTCTGATCATTCATTGTTGGTGTACAAAATGCCATTGATTTCTCAGTACTGATATTGTATTCTTCTACTTTGCCAAATTCACTTCTTAGGTCAAGTAGTTTTTTTGTGTCCAATATCATGCCAACTATAAATAATGAGTTTTACTTCCTTCTTTCCAATGGATGGCTTTTATTTATTTTTCTTGTCTGATTGCTGCGGCTAGAACTTCCAGTTCTAAGTTGAATAAGAGTGGTGAAAGCAGACACTCTTGTCTTGTTCCTGATCTTAAGGGAAAAGCTTTTAGTTTTTGCCCATTGAGTATGATGTTGGCAGTAGGTTTCTTGTATATAGCCTTTCTTATATTGAGGTATGCTCCCTCTATTCCTACATTGCAGCATATTTTTATCATTAATGGGTGCTGGATTTTATCAAATGCTTTTTCAGCATCTAGTGATATGACCATGTCCTTCATTTTGTTTATGTGGTATATTATGCTTATTGATTTGCAAATATTTTACCATCTCTGCATCCCTGGAATAAATCCTACTTGATCATTGTGTATGATTTTTTTAATGTGTTGCTGGATCCACATTGCTAGTATTTTTTTGAAGATTTAGCATCTATGTTCATCAGAGATAATGGCATATAATTTTCTTTCTTAGTTGTGTCTTTGCTGGTTTTACTGGCCTCATAAAAACAGTTTGGGAGTCTTCTCTCTTCTTGAATTTTTATGGAATAATTGAGAAGGATAGGAGTTAGTTCTTCTTTGAGTGTTTCATAAAATTTGCCTGCAAAGCCATCTGGTCCAAGGCTTTTGTGGGCTGGGAGTTTTTTAATTACTGCTTCAATTTTGCTAGTTGTTATCGGTCTATTCAGGAGTTCTGCTTCTTCTTGATTCAATTTTGGAAGATTGTATGTTTCTAGAAATTTATCCATTTCACCCAGGTTGTCCAATTTCTTGGCATATTGTTGTCCATAGTAATTTTTTACAATTTTTTCTATTTCTGTGGTATGTGTTGTTACTTCTCCTCTTTTGTTTCTGATTTTATTTATTTGTGTCCTCTTTCTCTTTTCCTTTGTGAGTCCTGTTAAAGGTTTGTCAATTTTATCTTTTCAAAGAACCAGCTCCTGCATTTATTGATCCTTTGAATTGTCATCATCAAGGGGATTTTAACACCCCACTGTCCACAATGGATAGATCATCCAAACAAAAAAAAAATCAACAAGGATATTGTGGCACTGAATGACACCATAGACCAAATGGACTTAATTGATGCTTATAGAGCATTTCTCCCCAAAGAAGCAAAACATATATATATTTCCAAAACACATAGATAGTTTTCAAAGATAGACCCCATGGTAGGAAACAAAATAAGCTTCAATAAATTCAAGAAAATTGAAATCATATCAAACATCTTCTTGGATCACAATGGCTTGAAATTAGCAACCAACCCTAAGGAAAAAAGTCAAAAACATTCAAATACATGGAAACTGAATAACATGTTATTAAATAATGAATGGGTTAACAATGAGATCAAGGAAGAAATAAAAAGTATCTGGAAACAAATGAAAATGAACACACAACAACCTAAAACCAATGGGATATAATGAAGGCAGTCTTGAGAGGAAGGTTCATAGCAATACAGGCCCACCTGAAGACAGAAAAAAATCTCTAATTGAAAAGAACTAGAGAAACAACAATAAACAAAGCCCAGAGTGAGTAGAAGGAAGGAAATAACCAAGATCACAGCAGAGTCAAATGACATAGAGACTAAAAAAAACAATTTTCCCCTTTTAGAGTTGAGCAAACTCATACTTGGAGCTGTTTTGCACTTGTTCAAGATCACGCGGCTAGGAAGTTATAAACCATACCACTTTCTGTTTAAATCTAATGGTGTTTCTATCAATACCATAGCTACCTACCCAACTTACAGTGAGACATTTCAGTTCAGTGAAGCAATGAACAGGACTGTTGAAAGATGAATACTATTGCGAGGTAGTGAGTGATTGCCTGTCACTTGTTCAATCATATGCTGAACAGCTGTTTTGCCAGGATCTGGTAGTCCCTTTAATTTATATATATAAATACTTCCCTTATTAATCAAACTATTAAAAATGAATGCTAATCATAAAGCCAAAGGACCTCCAGAAGTGAGGCCTAGTGAGTGTAAGTTGATTGAGCTATGTGCATTCCATAGTTATTAGAAAAATAAAGCACCCACACTTTGTTCTCTGTATTTACAATCTAATGTTTTTTCTGTTGCAGCAGTTACCGTTATCTAATAACTGGGTAGTAGAGTGTGGAACTAGAGGGTATGGAAAGAGGAAGGGCAGGGATGTTTTGTGAATTCCTAATATGAATTATTTGGCATGCTTTTGCTTTATTAAAACAATAAAAGAATGTGAGTGGTAGTAGGAGAGGGTTTAAAATGATAAGCAGAGAATTCTACTTAGTAAAGGAGAACAGAATACTGTGAAAGGCTAAGGAAGGCAAGGATTATGAATTGTACTGTATTTCCCTCCTGTTGAGTGGATGCTCAACATGTATTTGTTGGAATGAATAATCACATCAACACTTTGACAAATATTTAAAGAGAACCTTCTTGGTGCTGAGCAGTGTGCTCTGTCTGGGAGCCAAAAATGAAGTAAACAAAAATCTCTATCCTTTTAAGGAACTCACAGTCTAGTAAGAAAAGACCACCAGCCAAAGCAATGGGTAAAAAAGAGTGCTAATGATTATCACAGAGAACAGATAAAAAGTTTCTATGAAAGCAGAGAGGAAAGAGTATTTAATTCAGCATAAATGTGTACTGCAAGGATGTGGGTGTGGTGAAAGGGCTGTATGTCAGAGAAGATTACAAAGAGAAAATGATGCATTATCTTTATTGTCTCAAAAGACAGTAGGAGGTTCACCTTGTTAAACGAGGGATGGATTTTAGAGAAGGGAAAATATACTAAAGGCACAGAGACAGAGTCCGTTGAATCTGTGACACATGGTGGGAGTTGAAGCTGGAGCTTAAGAGGTCTAGAGATACGATCAAAAAAGGCCTGTGTGCCATAGTAATTAAGTTAATCCTGATTACCCAGGTGGAGATCCTCTGAAAAATTTTAAGGAGGGAGTCTCTGTGTTTTTGGAGTGTCCTTTGACAGTCATATAAGACAGGAGTAGAAGTGAAATTAGCAAGGCTTGACCTAAAGAGTGGCAAAGAGGCTGAAGTAGTGGAGACTGTTAGTCACAGAATTAAGAGGAAGGATTCATCCATGGGATTTTAAATCAGAGAACTTCAGTAAAGAGAAATTTAGTTGCCTAGTTGTTGGAATGGCAAGAGTTTATCCATAAAATTAGGTGATTAGTGAACTGAGTAGCAGAGTGAGTGATATGGGATGCCTGGGATTGGGAACACATGGCTGCCCTGAGTCTGTGTATACTAGCTGATGACTCTTGAAGCAAATTCAGGAAATGACATAAAAATGATTTACGCAATGAAATTAGAAGAAGAAAGACTCTGAAGTCAGTACATTTTGAGAAAAATAACCAAGATGGGGATGGGGAAGTAGCCATTGTCAGAGGGCCATTTTGGACTGTGCAGTGGAAAGATCTTCAAGGAAATACACATGTGAATCCAGCCCTTCCTCACTACAAATCCCCCGCCAAATTCCCCCAGCTGCCTTCATTCTTTAGCCACATCAGAGCATGGTGGGTGGAGGGGAACCACCATCCCTGGGTATTTCCTGGCAGTAGGTACTTGAGATAGAGGAATCCCAACAAACCGAGGATGACAATGTTAGAATTTTGAAAAATTACACACCACAATCTCGAACCTACATACATATTTCACGGTGAGGGGAGAAATCAAATGCCAAGGTGTCAAGTAGACGGGTCCCTCCTTAACCCCAGGTTTCCTGACTCTCGATCCAGTGCTCATTCCACTACCTCACACTGCTTGCCGGCTTGGGACTTGCACCTGAGCGCTCGGTGAGGCCCCCAGGATCCTCTGGGGTGTATCAGAGGTCCCCTCTTCGTCCCTCCCCCACCCCTAGTTCTTGTGGGACTCCCGACCCCGCCCCCTTCCCAAGCTGGGCGGGGTCTCTGCGCAGCCGCTCCCCCAGCGCGTGCGGGGTCGTTCGGACGCGGCTCAGGCCCGCGGGTACTCGGAGGTCGCCGGGCCGCCCGCGCTGCCGCCCCTCGTTTGACGCACGCAGGGGCAGGACGCGATTTGCAGCGAGTGACTGGAGCCGCGCCGCCGCCGCCGCCGCCACCGCCTCCGCCGCGCGGGCCCGTTTTGCTTCAGCCCGCTTTCTGCCGTCTCGTCCTCCGTCCGCGTCTCATTCGCGTCCCCGTGTCCTCCCCACCGTCGCGGAGCAACCAGTCGCCAGCGTCAGCACCAGCTAGGTGAGTGTGGCCGCCGTGGGGCCCGGGAGGCCCGGGCAGGAGGAGCGCGCAGGCCCTGCGGCCGGGCGGCGGGCGCGGGCGCGTGGAGGCGGCAGTGGCGGGCCGGGCTTTCTTCCCCCGGGCGGGCCACACGGCCGAGGGAGGGGAGCCCACGCCCCGCCGCCGCTTCTGTCGCCGCTGCCGCCGCCCCCGCTGCCGCCGCCGCAGACAAAGCGCCTGAGGTGGGAAGCCAGGCGAGCAGTCCTTGCCTCCGCGCCGCCTGCCGGGTGCGGCTGCGGCCCGCAAAACCGGGGCCGCTAGGGTCTCCCCTTCTGAGTGCCCTTCTTCATTAATGGGTGAAAGGGACCCGAATCGTGCAACAGGTTTAGGCGTTAATCCGTATTTTCCGGTGCGCGGGGACCAGATGTGGCGTCCGCCCCCGGGGCGAGTCCCTGTGTCCTGCGCCCGCTGTGGCTCCTTTGTGTGGCCGGTGACCAGCCTGCCCGAGGCCCCCAGGCTGCGCCCAAGCTCCTGGACGTCTCCCTCGCGGAGTGGGGCTTGGCTTCCGCGGCCCTGCAGGATGTTAACGTCCCTTAAGCCTTTGGAGGAGCCACAAAGGGAGAGGAGAAAGGGTTGGCAAGGATCTCTCGTTTTGTATTTATTTTTTGTATGGTAGGGTAGACTCATATTGGAAAAGAGCCGCAGTGTGGCTAGGTCTTGAGGGTGCGGGTGGGACTTCACCCTGGGATGCACGGTTTGGATTTGGTGCTGCTCTAACAGCCCCCGTGGTTCTCCTGGTGCTTTGACATCTCCCTCTCCTGCACAGACCTCACGGAGAAGTTGAAGTGCTGTTGAGGGAGTAACTCGATAGCAGCTGTTGACAGGTCACCTCTTTCTTCACATTTTGTCTATGCCAAGTATACCCACCATGCGCCCTATCATAGGTTGGGAAACCTTCAAATTAAAATTGCCACTCACAATACACCTGTGTTGGAAATTATTCATCCACATAGTTTTCTTTGGCTTAACAAACCCTATTTTCTTAGGCGTGAGAAACTTTTTTCTTTCCGCAAGGCAAAATACAGAATAAAGAAGAGTTTATCTTCGTTCACGTACCTTGCCTGGGTCATGCTCTTACCTAGCTGGTTTCATTGGTGTGCTATTTCAGTATAACAATACTAAATAGAAGGAAAATACCTTCCTTTTGCTTTGAGCAATAAAATACATCTTTGTTCTAGAACCAGGAAGCTTTTATACGTAATACTTCGTGTGGACAGAAGTTGGTGACTTTATTTTTACCCCATGACCAAATACACGTAAACATTCCCTAAGGACTTAAAAAGCATTATACAGCTCTACAGATTGTACATCCAGAATTCAAGGAATAATTTTTCTGTATATTTATTCAAACGATCTAGATTAAACTTAATCTTAAAAATTGGGCCAGCTCTGTAAATTCCCCCACATTAGGGAATGAAATTGATGGCGTTTCAAGAGTTTACCAACCATTTTAACCACTGTGAATAAAAATTGGAAGGACTAATTGGTGGATGAGATTAGGAGCTGATGATGGATGGACGGACCTAGAAGTCTGGCAGGAGAATCCAGAACATGTGAAGTGGTAGAGAAGAGGATGCAAAATTCATCTGCTTGTGTTTTTGTTGGACGAGTATACCTAAAAACTAAATGTCTACTAATTTAAAAAGCAGGAAATATTACATTTTGACCTATTTTCTTTTCATGTGCTTAATAAAGACTCCTTGAAGCTCTTTTTACCTCCTAAAAACACACTTGATATTAATAAAAACTTTTGAAGATATAAAATTATACCAAATTAATATGGTCTGTAGAAAGCTTCTCTAATTAGTAGTTTGACGTAACTAAAAATACCATTTATCTGTGTAACATCTAATTTCAAAGAGCTTTCATAGCTGTTACAAGCAACAGGAACAACCTCTTGAGGAAAGTAGGATATTTACTAACAAAAAGTAGCAAGTAGCAAATATTAAATTTCTGTAATCATTTTCTTTTATCGTGATATAATTCATATACGTAAATTCCACTCTTTTAAAGTATACAATTCAGTGGTGGTAGCATATTCACAAAAGTGGGTAAACATACCTCTAATTCAAGAACATTTTCATCATCGTGAAAAGACACCCCCCAAACCCTTTAGCTGTCATTCCCATTCCTCTCCCCTGCATTTGGCAATCACTAATCTATTTTCTGTCCTTATAGATTTGCCTTTTCTGTACATTTCATGTAAATGGAATCATACCGTATGTGTCTCTTTGTGTCTTTCACTTGGCAAAATATTTTCAGGATTCCTCCATATTGTTCATGTATCAATGCTTTATTCCTTTTTATACTGAATAAATATTCCATTGTATGGATATGCCACATTTCCACTTTTTGATTGTTATGAATAATGCTGCTGTGAACACTCATTTATCAGATTTTGTGGGGACATTATGTTTTCAGTCCTCTTGGGGTATACTTAGATGTCGTATAATTGGGTCATGTGGTAACTGTTTAACTTTCTAAGGAACTATCAAGCTTTTCCATAGCTGCTGCACCATTTTACATTCCCACCAAAAAAGTATGAGGGTTCCGTTTCTCCAACACTTGTACAAAGGTTATCTGTGTTGGTGATAGCCATTCTAGTGGGTGTGAAGTGGTATCTCATTGTGGTTTTCATTCGCTTTGCCCTAATGTCCTACTGGCTAATGATGTTGAACATCTTCTCATCTTCTTGTTGGCCATTTGTAATCAAAATAAATCAAAAATGTCTATTTGATTTATAATCATTTCTAAGTTTATGGTTTCACATGCATTCTCTTATTTAGTGTTTGAAAGAATACTGTAAAATAGGTTTATTTTTATTTTACTCCTAGGAAAGGGGCAAAGAGGTTCATTTATTTGCTTGTTTTTAACCTTAGAGTTAGTAAGAGTAGGGGTATGAATGTAAACTTAGGTCTTCTGACTCTGCTTCCTACATTCTTTTCACTTCGTGAGGCATGCAGAAGTTAAATTGTGTTTGCAGATGTGCTTGACTAATCATTGCCAAAGTGGAACATGATGAATAAAAAATCATGCAACAACAGAAAGCAGGTGTGGTGGCTACACTACCTCATATTCACCAGATATTCTTATGCTTTCTCAAATAAATTCTTTTTTTTTTTTCCCTTACCCTAGTAAGGTAGATGTGATTTCCATATATCCTGTTGGGAAACAGAGCAGTTAAACCTAGCAACAGCACCTTAGTGACCGAGCTGATCCTAGAAGCCACTGTTCACTGAGACATTGTGCTTTCTCTTCCTCGGCAGCTTCCATGTTCTCCGTTTTCTCACAAATTTATTCCTTTTAATTTTATAGTAATTGGACAATTTCACATTTTTCATAAACATTAAGATTTTCTGGATTAATCTGAAATTAACTTTTATTTTTGAACTAGGTGGTTTGCCAGTTTCACTTTGAAGGGCAGGATTACTAGGGTATATACTTCACAGTTTTTATGCACTGGCCTGTACCATATATATGCGCCAAATTCTCAACTCTGTAGAGGGTAGGTAGAGTCCATATGTTATATGTTAATCTTTATATGTCCATTTTCCAGCATAATGCCTGGCACATAGCAGGGATCCAACCTTTGTTTAATGAATGAATACAAATACATTTTTTATTTGCAGAAAATTTACAAATTATGTTACTCTTTTTTTAGAATAATGGTAGTTTAAATTCCAGAAAAAGAAAACATTTTTTACTCCTAGCAGATAACCTAAAAACTAATAAATCATAAAAATTAGAATGGCTTAAAACTCAACATTGTATCTTGCAAAAGGAAGTAACTGTTTTTCCATCTTGGGTTTTAAAAAATAGGCTCTAAGTACCGAGTGGCACAAGTGCTTATAAACTCAGTGCCAGAACATAGGCGTTGTACCCCAAGTGTTTGTTAAACAAATGAATGCCCAATGAGTGAATAAAAGAATTGGTTTTTTACTATAACAGGTAGAGGAGATAATGGCAAATGGATATGTTGGCTCTGTTATTCATTTATATATTTTAATTGTCAAACATGATATACTGAGGTCCTTCCAGAAGATATCCAGCCATGTTCTATGGAAAATAGAGACATTTATTGAAGAAGATACAAAATACAAGAAACATTGTACATAGGATAATGACTCCTCAGTCCTCTTCAGGATGGGCACCTTGGCACCTCACTCAGTTCTCCCAGTGTCTCTTCCACTGTTCAAAACACTCAGCAAAATCCTTTGTTGGAATCGCCATCAGCTGCCCTGTTTTGTTTTCCTGAATCTCATCAGCAGTCTGAAATCTCTTCCCTTTTAAAGGTGATTTTAGTTTTGGGAAAAACCAGAAGTTGCAGGGCACCAAATCTAGGCTGTAGCGGGGCTGAGTCACCTGGGTGATCTGATGTTTTGCCAAAAAACATTGCCTGACATGTGATACATGAGCGGGCACATTTTTGTGATGAAGCTTCCAAACACCAGTTGCTCATAGCTTCGGCCTTCTGAATCATCCAAGTATTTCCACAGAGGAATGTTAAAGCTTAATGCAAAATTTGCTGCCTAGTCATTGCTCTAATTGCTTAGTCATTGTGGATGCGAAGGCCATACAATACACATGCTCATTCGACGATGTCTGCCACCCCCACTGACTGGTACAGTGAAGTCATCATTGTTCAGCCTTGCACATTCCAGCCTCCTCGCTTGCAGGTTACATGATGTCGCATAAACCATTCTTATATTAACAGTGGCTGGGCTTTTTCCAGACATACTTCATATGTTAATTATAAAATTCAAATAATAAATGGGTATAGGGAGTTAAAGCTGAAAATCTCCCATTTACTTCTTGTCCTTTTTGCTTCTTTTACTCCCAAGACCCCTCCTCTCTCAGGCAATCATTGTTAACAGTTCCAGGTTTATATTTGCAAACCTCTATCTTTGTATTTTTGTGTACATATGTACAAATATACATTTACATATCCAGCTATACTCAGA